TCCCCCAAGATGGTTCCCTGTTTCTTTGGGCATTAATGCTGTGCTGGCTGTAACATCTGGCCTGGATTTCTGTGGCTTGACCTCTTGACCTAAAGGGTTGCTTGCTCCAATCTCTGTATCAGGTACTATGAGCAAAAGAGTTACTGAGTTCTCCTAGATTTGAAGTCTGCCTATACAGCCAATCAGAAAAGTCTCTTCGCAACTACATGGTTAGCCAGCTGGAATTAGTTACAGCATGTCCACACATGCTCATCAATTTCTTCAAAGTACTTCGCTATGATTTTCTTGGGAGCCATCTTTCTCTTATCCTCCATGTGTAGAGGATGCATAAAATTGTATCATGCAAGCTGATGGAATTTGTGCATGTACTAGGCTCTCATTATATTCTCTCAATTGTTTGAAAAATTTGCCTTCCTTGGCAGATGAGCAGGAGTGCATTTTGAACACATCATCTGTATCCCCACTCCAGAACAGTCCTGTTCGGTTTCTGGGGAAGCATAAACATTAGCCTTTCATTTGCTTCCCCAGTGCCATACAAGAAAGTCTCAAAACAGTCAATTTTGCACAGTCTTATGGCAGGCAAAAAATAAAAATCACCATTTTCCTCAGATACAAAGTTTTACAGATTCATCATTGGCCTTAATTGAACCCAAAAGCAAAAAGGCAAAGAAAATTGGCTTCCTGTCTTAGAAGGAAATGTAGTCCCCTCAGAGCTTTCCAGATGACATGACACTCTCTCTGTTTCAGATTTAGATCTTGGTGTTGACTAGGAATCATCCTCTCACTTTCACCAACCAGACTTGACTTGGTTCCCACAAAAATGACCTCATTCTTAGAGGACTGAGATACCTCACCCTCTCTCTGTTCCACTACTCTGGACCTACCCTCACAGAGTTGTGTTCAATAATTCAAATAATATCTAAAGAAAAACAAAATGAAACTTCTTGTCTCAGGAAAACGAAATCCCTATCCTAATTCCAGAACACATGGTATTCTCTCCACCCAGTAATTATGGATGTGGGATAAACTGGAAGTCACCGCCTCCTTGAGAAACTAACTAACCTGGGTGAAAACTCAGTTTCCAAGATTTTATTAGCACATACAGTCATCCAACTCTGGGGTCTGGACAGAATTTCTAAGCGTCCCTTTCTACAAGGGGTATACCGAATTTACATTAGGGATGCCTATACATAGACGATCCTTGTAGAGGCTCAAGCAGATTTTCTTTGGATCCTTATTCTAAATGGCACCCAAAAATGGATCTTTCCTCTTCAAGGACAGTACAAATGGAATTGCATACTCACCTGACAGGACAAGTAATTTCAGTTAGAAAAGTGGCAAAACAAGGTCATAAGAAGCCCAAAGATGAGTGAAACTCCCAGGAAGGGCATAAGGATATCACTATAAGCCAAACAATCTGGATCTTTTTAAATGTAGAAACAAAGTTTTTCAACTAGGAACTAGTGATCTAGTGATGCAAATGCTTTCTTTCTTTCTTTCTTTCTTTCTTTTTTTTTTGGTGAGGCAGTGGGGTTAAAGTGACTTGCCCAGATTCACACAGTTAGTGTCAAGTGTCTGAGGCTGGATTTGAACTCAGATCCTCCTGATTCCAAGGCTGGAGCTCTATCCACTGCGCCACCTAGCTGCCCCCAAATGCTTTATTTCTCATGTTAGACTTTATCCATATTTATATGGGATTTACCAGTACAATGAATTTTAATATTTAAACACTAAATGAATCAAATGCAGAAGTTTAAGAAATTCACTTTAATAGAACTTACTTGTGAGGGAATATACACCAGAAAACCAACTGTAGAATTACATTCTTTTTTTTTTTTTTTTTTGCCAGTTTCTCTAGTATCCTGCAAATAAAAGTATCCAAAATTGAAAGTCCTGGGTGGAACTGATGGGGTCTGCCCATGTTCCAGACTCCTATTACAAGGGAAAGATTGAGAATCAGAAAGAAAATACAAAACCTTTAGAAGGAAGTTGAGAAGGACACCAAAGACACAAGATGACAAGAAGTATTATTTTTTTCTCTGATATAGGAAGGGAGAAAGCTGAGAGAATGGGAGGAAAATACAATGATTTCTTTTTTAAACATATATATGAAGAGGGGTTGATGGCCTTGATTTTAGTGATGTAAGAGATGGGATTATTTGCCACAAGGATTCAAAGAGTGGTGATTTGAGGTGACAGGAATTGGAAGGAATAGCTACTGTGGGGAATGGTAGGGGGAAAAATACATTAGAACAAAAGGATAGTCAAGTAACACTGAAAGCCCAGCTGAAGTTAGAGAGTTATGTATTTACAATGGACTCGGTTTCTTAGTGTAACAGCAGAGAATACTGGAATCTTACATAAATAACTTCAAATATCATCACCTTCAGTTTATGCATGAACAGGAATATTATGTCCAACAAGTGGTTTTCCACCCCGTTTGAAGACATTGAATTAGAAATCTGATGATGGGGAGTTGACAAAGGTTGAACATGAGGTGAAGGATTCTCAAATGGCCTGCCACTTGAAGCTGGTGAGGGAGAATGGCAAGTAAAATAGTCTTTCATTTTCCTTATAGAAGAGGAAATTATCTTAAGTAAAGTTATACACTAAGTATACCAAAACTATGCAAGTTCAAAATACCATATTTTAATATTGTGGATATTAAAATGCCATATTTGAAGCAGTTATTTCTAAGGGAAGACAACCATTGCAATTACACTCACAATAGCAATTTTTATCTTGGAATTCATTTGAATAAGTAATATCAGTTTTAAAGCAGAATGTATACATGTTTTGTATGCCATCAAGAAAGAGGAAAGCATTAAAAAGAAAAGGAGAACTTAATAAAAGGAAACAGAAGATAGAAAGTGAAATTAGTCCAAAAGTCTAAAAAGTGCACATTTTTGTGTAACAGTTTGCTTGGGAATCAAATCTTGAAGGAGAAAAAGCTGAAATATGGGGAGGAGGTCTCTTGGAAAAATAATTAAGAGCTTGAAAAGTTAATTTTTACTTCTTTTTTCTATATCAGGAGAGAAGGGAAAAAAGAATTGAAGATTTGAAAAATTTAAAATTTAAAAGTTATGTTAGCATAGTTTCCCAGTGGGTTGTTTTGATCTATATCCAACTTGACACACCTGGCTGTCCTAATTAGATAGTGACATACAAACAAGATGAACAGGTCTGACTGGGAAGAACAAAGCAGGCATTGCATAAGGTTGTGAAGAACTTTGAATCTCTCGTAGTCTCTGCACATTGTTGTAGATAGAGCTTATATATACATATATATATATATACATATATATATATATACATATATATATATATATATACATATATATATATATATACATATATATGCAGGATTAATCAAGTAGCATCCAACTAGAGTGATTGAGATTCAAGTAAAAATGTTAATTTAGTAAAGGCAAGAGGAACAACACCTTCGTGTTCATCCTAAGGTTTGCAGCTAGAAATCATCACTGCATTTAATACAGATCAAAAATCTGTTTTGTTTTGAATCAGTTTTTAAAAGGGAAATAATATTGACTCTTGTTACAAGAAGTTGAGTATAGAAAGCTTTAGACAAAGATAGTGCAAAATGTTCACATTTTACACAAAACTGTGTTTGTCACTTAGCAATTCAACAGCACTAAGAGAGTGCAGACCAAAGTAATTTGTTTATAACTAGTTAACCAGTGTGGAAGTGAGTCTTACATGGTGTAATTACATTCTATTTTCAGCTCGTTTAGTATGTCAGTTGTAGTAGTTACCATCCATCATTGGCAAAACTGACTTGGGCTGTGGTCCTGTGAAAAAGCCAGAGTGAATAGAGACCAGCTGATGTTTTGAGCTTGGTTTCTTGCAGTTGAATGTAAGCTTCTTCAGGCAGTAGTTGCTTCATTTTTGTCTTTGTGTCCCTAAAGCCTTGTTTAGTGCTTTACACATAGTAGGTGCTTGTATGCTTGTTGTATTGAACTGGATCTGTAAAATGGGGGCCAGGGAATGGATAGAGTGATCTCTAAGGTCCCTTCTTATTCTGATAGCCAATGATTTTCTCTTGGATTATGGAATATGATACATATTCATATAAATATATCATGATTTCCAAACTGTTAGATTTGGTAGGAAGTAAGCCTTTATATTATTTTCCCTCTCTATACTAGGGGTTCTTAACCTGGGATTCACCCTAAAGATTCCGTGGAGAAATTTCAGAGAGGTTATGAACTTGGATGGGAAAAAAAAAATGCATCTTCATTTTCATTAATCTCAAAAATTTATAATTTCTTTCAATTATTTAAAAACATTATTCTGAGAATGAATCCATAACCTTCACCATACTGCCATTTGGGTCTATGATGCAGAAAAAGATTAAGGACCCCTGCTTTCTGTAGGTTAATGTTTTGCAAAAGGATTATGTTGAAATTGTAGTCCATATATGTTGAGTACATAACAAGAGATAAGGCATTCAAATCCTAGGTGGTGGATGAGAATTGCTTCCTAATGTTTATTGACAATATTCCTCTACAGGTGAATTGGGAGAGTTTTAAAAATGTGTTTTAGTAGTTGTTTTTACTTGCAACTGGGAAATAAGATACACAGGCAATAGGGTATAGAAATCTATCTTGCCCTACAGGAAAATAGAAGGGGAATGTAGTAAGAGGTGGGGTGTTAGAAGGGCAGATTGGAGTAAGAGGTAATGAGAATGCACACCATCATGGGGTGAGGGGAGAGAAGAGATGGGGAGAAAATTTTGGATTCAAAATGTTGTGGAAGTGAATGTTGAAAACTAAAAATAAATAAATAAATTGAAAAAATGTGTTTTAATAGAAAACTAAACTTCATTAGTTTTAGCAGTAACTGAGAGAGAAATTCTGTGTTCTCTTGGTTGGCTGTTTTTTTTTTTTTTGTTTTGTTTTGTTTTGTTTGTCTTGATACTGTTTTATCCAAGAAAAAAGAATATTGACCTTGTTTTGTTTTTTTTCCTTCTCTTTTAAAAGATAAGGCACCTTTGTCAAAGAGCCTTTTACTCGTACCCAGCGCCCTTTCGATTTTATTGGCACTACTCTTTCAACATTATCAGAATTTCTTTGTGTATAATCTACAAGCTGTAAAGAATGATTTGCAGGTGAGTAATTGATCATTTGTTTAAGACCTGGAAAAGGGAGGGGTGAAGGGTGAAGGGTGAAGGGGAAGTTGTTTGTTTTTCTGGATTTGTTTCCGGTCCCCTCTACTACCAATATGTCCAGATAAAATATACAATAGTGCCTTGTTGTATATACCACACTTATAAGAAAAGTGGTGTATATATCAAAACTGTCATTTATTATCTGTCATTATGATAGTTTTCCAAATCAAGTTGACTGATATTTTTACTAAGATCATTTTTTACAGTATACTTATTCCCTTATATGAAGAAAATATCATTCAGTTTTGTAGGCATTATGGTGCAGTGATTTGAATGAAAGTGCAGTGGGTTTGAATTCTGCCTTTGCAGTTTACTACCAGGGAAAGTCACTTAACCTCATTAGACCTCAGGTTCCTCATCTGTAAAATGAGGAGGCTGGATTAAATGACTCCTAATGGCCCTTTCAGTTCTGAATCTATGATCTTAGGAAGATACAGCCTCTACTGTGCCACTGAAGAGCTGTGTGGCCTTCGGCAAGTTGTTTAACATCTCAAGGCCTTAGTTTCTTCGTCTCTGGAGAGCGTCCCACTGAGGAGGAATAGGATGGGGAGAGCCTCAAGATTGTGTCAGACAAGAGCAGACAGAAGGAGCTGAGGGCATTTGTTCTGATAAAGGGGAGATTTAGGGAGAATAAAACTCAGTGAAATTTAATGGAGATGAATATAAGGTCTTACACTGGCTTAAAAATCAATAAACATATAATGAAAGGGGCATAGCTAAGTAGCAATTCATCTAAAACATGGTCTGGGTCAATATGAATCAACAGTGTGATATAGCAGCCCCCTAAAAGCTAATGCTATCTTAGCTTGCTTTGAGAGGTGTGATGGCCAGGGTTCTGGGTTTACTATGCTCTGGTCAAAACATGTCTGCATTATTGTGCTTGGACCTGAGTAATATATTTTAGGGAAGTTGAAGAATGTCTGGAGGAGAGTGACCAGGATGATGAAGACAGATGAGATCCATATGAAGATTAGGGGAAAGAAATGTTTTACCTAGAGAAGAAACTGTGGAGGAGGACATGTTAGCTGTTAGGGGAGGTCATTAGCCTTTTTCTTGGGTTCATGGGACAAAAATAACGATGATGGGAAGAAACTGCAGAGATAAATGTAGACTTGGTTTAAGGAAAAACTTAATAAAAATTGGAACTGTCACAAAGTGGAATGGGCTGTCTTGAGAGGCTGTGGGTTTACCTTGAACAGTCTTTGAAAAAAAGGAGCATAGTATCATTTGGGGTTTTCTTGGCAAAGATAATTGGAGTGGTTTCCCATTTCCTTCTCCAGCTCATTTTACAGATGAGGATATTGAGGCAAACAGGGTTAAGTGACTTGCTCAGGGTCACACAGCTAGTAAATGTCTGAGGCCAGATTTGACCTCAGGAAGATAAGTCTTCCTGACTCCAGACCTGGCACTCTATCCACTGTGCCACCTAGGTGCCCTGACTTGAGAACCAGTGCTTAAGGTGGATGAGCACTTATAGAATGTATTAGAGAGGAATTTTTTTACAGGTACAGTTTAGACCAGATGGACTCTGAGATTCTGTGATTCTGAGTAATGGGTAGAAGCTCCATAGAGTGAAATTAAGCCTATCTAAAAGTAGATTGGGTTGCCTCTGGAGTCTTTTCCAACTCTCTGATTCTGTGAATTTAAAGGAAATGAACAATTATACTAATTTGATGTTTTACAGTTAGAAGGGAAGGGAACAAGCATTTATTAAGGACCTATTATAATCTGGGTCTAGAGCTAAAGTAATTTACAAACACTTAGCCAGTATTAGGATTAGAAAGGATATGGCACTGTAGCTTTGGAGGATATGTTTTCATCTCTTACATGTGCAAGTGTTACAGCTGATGGTGGGTCTATCTGACAGTAAAGGTGTGAGGGCAAAGTGTGATGTGTGGCACTCAGTCATTTCCTTACTAGGCCCACGGGTAACTTTTCTTTATACTATTTTCAGCTCAGTATCTTTGTGAGAAATACACTGTCCTCCTTCTGCATTCAGGCCACTTGGAATTTTTTCTGTTGCTCTTTAGCTGTGCGCATTAGGTATTACTGTGAATACAAAAGAAAGGGAAATTTCTTGAGGAGCTTCAATTCTGGCTGGCCAGCAGACTATGGAACTGCATTTGTGATGCTGCATTTTCATTTTGCTTTTTTACCTCAAACAGCATGTTTCACTAATTACAGCTTAGGAAAAACTTTTCCAGGATTTACATCTCAAATTTAAATTTGTCCTGGTGTAAAAAGCCAGCCATTAGAGATTATTTCTATACGCTTGCAAATTATCAGCAAGACAAAACCCAAACGAGCTTTTACAATAACCAACAATAGCCAAATTATTTTAGTGGTAACCAAATTATGAAAAATTGCTTGATATAACTGATACAAAAAGCTCACCAATTTGAAACTTGAAACAAACCCATTACCAATCAGCTGACTTTAATTTTGTTAAATTCATTTCCAAATTACTTTACACAGAGAATCAACATCTCATCATTAACAGTTAAAACTACAACTTTAAAAGAGTGTGCTTACTCAAGTTCAGAGGCCATCTTCTTTACCTTGAGCAGGATGTGCTGAACTTGGGAAATGCTTCCAGACAAAGGTTGCCCCAGGACCCAAGGCCAGTGCCAGTGGAGCCCACGCTGTAGCTGCTGCCCCTCAGCCCTCCTTCCTTTCCCCAGGTGGGGGAGGGTGAAATCAAAGGTGAGGGGGAAAGGTTGAAACTCTCTCCTCCTATAAGAAAGGTTAACAGATACCCTACTGACTCAGGGGAGGGGAGTGGGAGAAAGGAGTGACCAGGGTTGTAAGAAGGAGTTTCAAAACTCCTTAATGATCAATCACAAAACCTCCAGAATCTGCCAAGATATTTTTAGCTGTTCTAAATTTTCCCTGTAACCTTCATGAAGGAGGATTCAGTAATGTAGAGGGAAGGAAGGAAGTAAGCCTCAGGGAACCAAAAAGCAACTGCAGTTTTCCCCAGTTCCCTAGCACCAAGAGAATTGACAGAATTGGGCATACACTTCCAGATAGGGCATCCGTCCTTGTCCTCTGTGCTGCAGAAGGTGTACCCAGGTCCATGGCCTTAAACCAACCCAGTGGACTGAGAGCCTGAGAGTATCAGGCTGAGTGCAAGACAGCCTCTAACTGTCTGCCCGAAAAGCACCTCCAAGCCTTGGTGCTTGGAGAGCAACCCCAACTGCAGAGCAAGAAAGGGTGGGGGAGGGGAGAAGCTAACATACCTTCCAGTCTTGGCTGGAGAAGAACTTGGAGTTAGGCATTTCCCTTTACGGGCCACCAAAATGTTGAGGTTTTGGGGTGCTGGGACCCCAAGATCACAGCACATGAGTCCTGCCCGAAAGAATTTGACCCAAGCCTTCTTTCAGCCAAAGACAAGGTTTATTAAAGATCCACCATATTAGCCACTCTTAAGGAATCTGAGCACCTGTGAGCTACTGGCTAGATTGTAAAAATCTGAGCCCATGGCTAGATCCTAAGAATCTGAGCAGTGGCTAGATTATAAGAATCTGAGCCTGCATTTTCATTTTGAAAACAAATGCATTATAATTTAGAATATTGTAGTTTAAAATAAGGTAGTGATTACTTTGGGGGTATTATTATAGTCATGAAAAACCTTTGTTCTTTCAGGAAGTCATTTTTATTTCACAACCTATTGGTGCCCCAGCTATACCCTCTCCTGCTTGGTGCTATTTCCCCCTGCCCTTCCCCTTTTCTTGAGTCTTCCGTATCTACGTTGTCTTTGTCAAGAAACTTCCAGTTCATGGGTAATTGGCCACTCCTTGCCTGTGTGAACTTATGGTAGGCAAACCAGTCACACCAGCCTGAGTAGTATTCTATCCCTTCCTATAAAATCATGAGCTGCCCTAACCTGGGGCTGCACTTGTGAAGATGGACCCAGGAGTCCCAGGGAGAGCTTGGTATAAAGAACAGAGGGCTAAATTCTAGTGTGTTTGCCCTCCTCCTGCTGTGGCTTGAAAACCACTCTGCTCAAAATTTCATGGCAATATCCCTGGCTATATCTCTGCCTTGCTCCTTCTTTTTTTTTTTTTTTTTGTTGGCAATTGGGGTTAAGTGACTCGCCCAGGGTCACACGGCTAGTAAGTGGCAAGTGTGTGGTCTAGAGGCTGGATTTGAACTCAGGTCCTCCTGACTTCAGGGCTGATGCTCTATCCACTGCGCCACCTACCTGCCCCTTACCCTGCTCCTTCTTGTCTTTCTATTAGGCCACGTCCTAGTGTATGGAGGTTGAAGGGTTCCACCCTGCTTTATTTTGAGGACTGGCCCCAGTCTTTTGGAGTTTTTGGAGTGGGTAACTCTAGTACTATGCCCTTGTTGTCCCTGCTTCGTTACCTCCGTGCTCCCTTGGACGTATCCAAAAGGGACCTGTTGCTTTTAGTAGTGACTATTAGCAATAACCCTCAACAAGTGTTTGAGCTGAGAAACAGTATTTGTCTTATTCCGGGTCCTCAAGTTGTGGAAATCATAATGCCTGGAAGTGCATTCTTGGTCAGTAGAAAACTTGAATATGAGGCTGTGGCTCAGTGAGGCAGATGTGAGAAGCATAGAAGCCCTGCCAAAATGATCATATTTGGGGGTAATGTGAGGTGAGATTGGAGGGGTATGAGGCCAGTTAATGAATAGCTTAGAATTTTAGTCTTTTATCTCTTTTTTAAAAAGGATCTGTAAAATTTGGCTACTTTAGTTTTCTTTAGAGTAATTGTCAGTGTTTGCATATTTGGTGAATGCAGAGCAATCAGTATTCTGTACACAGAAAAGTTACTTTATGGGTCAGTGATTCCTAGGTTACTCTCATGGACTGCAGATGATATTTACCATTTGTTGAGTTGAAAGAGCTAGTTGAGGTGGATAGGAGATTTATGCTTAACTTCAGCTTCAAGTTTCTCAGTTGTGACATTGAGCATAACTGAATAATGTAAATTATAAAGAATCTTACTTAGCAGTTTTCCTTCGCTAATGATTATGATATGGTTGTTTTCAAGCTGGATGACTATATTGTATTTTGTAGTAGCCTTCGCGTTTTATTGAGCATCTTTAGGCCTGCAGACTTATCACGCATCTCCTAGTACCTAGGCCTTGGGTGAATGCTTTTGCAAGTCCACTGCATATGTGATAGAAGTTTTGATGTGGTCTGCTGATGTTGATACCTCCGGTGTTATAGCAGGTTTTTATTGTACTGTGTTGTGGCCTGAAAGCACATTGTGACACTGAAGTAAAATCATACATTCCTCCAGCACGAAAAGATGTTAGAACTCTGGCCCAGCCTCTTTGTCTTACACAGTATGCACTTAAATATGTATGTTAGTGGTTTAGAAAGAAGAAAAGGCTTTCTTGGAAGATACTACGTTCCTTTTTATTGGATATAACTTTATGTAAGGACCGTATAACCACTTGGCAGAGTTACTGTTTGGGAGACTTCTGTTCAGTTACAGGTTAGATTAGCTGACCTTTGAGGTCCGGGTTATCTTTCTTTGATTTTAAGAACTGAGTTTAATTTTTTAATAATTCCTTTTTACTATATTATGCTGCCTTTCTAATCTCTTAACTTTGCTGTGCTAGATGCCTTTTAAACCTCTTATTCTTGATATATTAATACTAGGGTAATGATAAGTGATCCGTGTACACCAGAAGAATTCTGTGGACGGTGTACCTGGATTTCAACAAGACATTTAACCAAATGCATCATGCAATCCTTGTGGACAGTCTGACAGTCTGTGGACAATCCGACCTTATCATTTCCCTGAAACTGTTTTCTCCAGATTTACCAGTGATCTCTTAGTTGCCAAGTCCATTGACCTTTTCTCATCCCTCATTCTCCTCGACCTCTCTGCACCTTTTGATATTGTTGATTACCTTCTCCTCAGTACTCTCTGCTCTCTAAGTTTTCATGATACCACTCTCTCCTGGTTCTCCTCCTACCTGTATGACTATTCCTTCTGTTTCCTTTGCTGGATCCTCATCTAGATCTCAGCCTCTAAGTCTCTTAGTTCTGTCCTAGGCCCTGAAAGGAAGAGGAGGGAGAAGACTCCTTCTATACTACTTCACTTGGTGATCTCATCTCAAAGCTTCTGATTCTCAAATCTACTAATCATGCCCCATACTCTCTGCTGACCTCCAGTCTCATATCTCCAGCTGTCTTTCAGACATCTCGAACTGTATGTCCAGTAGACATTGTAAACTCATCATGTCCAAACAAAACTCATTATCTTTCCCTCTAAACCATATGCCCTTATTACTATAGAGGGCAACACCATCCTCTTGGGCTCATGACCTAGAAGCTATCCTCAGCTCCTCACTATCTCTCACCTTTCATATCCAATCTGTTGCCCATGCCTGTTAATTTCACCTTTCCAATGTCTCTTGAATATACCTCCTTCTTTCCTCTGACACTGACACCACCCTGGTGCAGCTCCTCATTACCTCACACCTGGATTATTGCAATAGCCTGCTAGTGGGTCTGTCTGCCTGCATCAGGCTTCCTTACTCAAATTCACCCTCCATTCAACCACTACAGGTATGACCACATGTCACCTCTCTACTCAGTCAATTTCAGTGGTACCCTATCATCTCCAGGTTCAAATATAAAACACCCCTTCATAACCTAACCCCTTCCACCTTTCCAGTCTTCTTATATCTTTCTCCCTCCATCACATACTCTTTAATCTAGTGACAATGGCCTCCTTGCTGTCCCACAAACAAGATACTCTGTCTCAATTCTGAGCATTTTCTCTGGCTGTCCTTCATGTCTAAAATATCCTTCCTCTTCATCTCTACCACCTGTAAGTCCCAACTAAAACCTCATTTTCTATAGGAAGCTTTTCCTAAGCTCTCTTAATTGTAGTGCCTTCCTTTTGTTAATTATTTCCTGTTTATCTTGTATATAGCTTGTTTGTACATATTTGTTTGCTTGTTGTCTCCCCATTAGATTGTGGCCCATTGTCAAGTTAATTAATCTCTCTGAGCTTCAGTTTCTTAATCTGTAAAATGGGCCTGGCTTGATGAGTAGGCTTTCTTCCAGCTGTAAGTCTGTGATCCTGTGACTTGGGAGTTGTCATAGATTATAAACCCAGTATGAGTCTTGTAACGTATTGTAATTGTAATTAAAATACAGCCTTGTAATGTAGAGAAGAGTCTAACTGAGGAGAAGGAGGAAGATGAGAGAAAATGTGCTCTGAACGGTTAAAAGAACTCTACATGTCAAGAATGAGTCATACTGCTAACTCAAAATTATAGATCATGAGCAAAGCATGCCTTGCCTCAATCAGTTGTGTAAGAATACATAGCTTTCAAATATAATTGTATAACCATTTTGTTCCTCATACTCTGTTTTATGAAAAAAAGTTTTATGCTATATTTTAGCCAGTTTTCTATGACAGAAAAACCTCAACCTTTAAGAATTTCTTCCTTTCTTTTCTTTAAAACAGATTACAAAGAATTCAAATGAAACAGATATTTTGAATTCAATGTAATAAATTTTCTGTGAAAAGAACTTGAAATACCCTGACTTTTTTTCTGTGCTTTTTTTACTTTTTAGGTCTGGAGATTGATATGTGGAAGAATAATTTGCCTTGATTTGAAAGATACATTTTGTAGTAGCCTGCTCATATATAATTTTAGAATATTTGAAAGAAGATATGGCAGCAGGAAATTTGCAGTAAGTCTGATATGAACATTCACTTCACTAGTCATTTATCAGTTGCTTTCTTCGTATAAAGGCCCTGTGCTGGCGTGTATGGCTCTGCATTGAAAATGTTGTATATGGGTTGGCTCTTGACCCTGATAATACCTGTGTGAGCTCAGGTAAACCCCACCCACTTTGGGCATCTGTTTTCTCATCCGTACACTGAAGAGCTTTTAGAGTCACAATCTACCATCTTACATTTATGAGGGTGAGGGAGAAGAGAGTGCATTGTATCCTTTGATTTTTGTGATAAAGATGGATAGATTCAATGTTCTTTTATTTGAGATCATCAGAGCCATAACAAGGACTTCTTGCACCTGGGACAAAGTCGGTTGATAGATTCACAGCTTTAGAATCAGAAGAGACCTTACAGCATCTAGTCCAACTCATTTTATAAATGCAGAAACTGAGGCCCCAGGGAGATGATGTAGCATAGAATGGATTAAAATCTAGGTCCCCTAACTATCAATCCGGTGCTGTTTCCACTCAATCATATTTGTGATTGGAGAGTGGTAAGATGGTGGTGTTTCAGAACAGAGTCCAAATATGGATGCAGAAGTGCAGGAGATCCCCATTGCCTGTCCTGTGCCCTCACAGAATTTAGAAGAGAAGATGGGCAACAGAACCTTGTGGGTAGCAGGTTGGCAGAAAATTACAAAGTTAGGAATGGGTCTGCGTGGGGGAGGAAGTATTTTCCCAGATCATCTTGGGGTAAAGTCCTAGTCATCCTCATGCTAGTTATGAGCTCTCAAACTCAGGTTTTCATTTTTTGAAGTCATTGTTTGCATGTTCATTTAAAATGTTTTATATATATTATTTGGAAATTAAACATTACCAAAGCTAATTAAAATATTTTAAAAATTCTTAGCTCGGAACAAAAAGTATAATAAACTCTAGAAAATCTTTGATCTATTAAAGTTAATCAGTTAACAAGCGTACATTAAGTACCTTTTACACACCAGGTACTCTGCTAGGTGCTGAGGATGTAGATGGAAAGAATAAAACAATCCGTGTTTACAGGGAACTTAGATTCTAATAATAATGGAGGCAACAAGCACATATAAAAGTATACGCACAGTAAATCCAATGAAAATAAATACAAACTAGTTAATTTTAAGGGAGCTTAGAAGGGAAGGCACTAGTTGGGGGATCAGGAAAGGCTTCATGTAGAATTTGGTGCTTGAGTGGCATTTGAAGGAAGAGGAGTTTTATATGAAGTAGAAATGAGGAGGGAGGGCATTCAATCATGTAGCATGGCCAGTGTAAAAGCACAGATGTTGAAGATGAAACATCTTTATGCGAAGAGCCAATGAAAGGCCATTTGGTGGACTGCAGAGTGATGCCTCATTCTGACATGCAGGTAACCTAGGGTTGTTGAAAGTTATACCTGGTGATAGAAGTTTTAGAAAGCCCTACTGAGCTGGAAAGATTTGGAGTACCAAAGGTTTGTTGGATGATCCTCCACAGACAAGCCTAGCTAGCGAATTTCAGAGAAGCTCATCAACCAGAAGGGTGGCTGCCTGATGATTGTTTTTTTCTACCCTCAGCAACTCATGAAACCATGTGGAAGGGTTGCTGTCTGCTTCTGTAGAAGAAGGTCCTGTCACAGATATTTAAATATTAAGATGAAAATAACAAAAAGTTACGTTTCTTAATGTAGTATGCTGAACTGATTTTAAGTTAATGACTTAAGTATTTTTGTTTGTGAAATTTTTTCTTCTTTCTTTTCAGTCCTTTTTATTGGGTTCCTGGATTTTGTCAGCTCTGTTTGACTTGATCCTTGTGGAAGCTATGCAGTATTCATTTGGTATCACAGCCAGTAACTTGCCTTCTGGTTTGTAAGTAACTCCTAATAGATTTGCCTAATTTAGAATTAGATCATACTGAAGTCTTGTTGTCAAATTCCAGTAAAAGAAGAAAAACATTTTGATCTTTCCAATGTAGATTCATTTGATGCTTAAAAAACCAATCAGTTGTGTTTAAATGCAAGGTGTCCCAAAAGATTAATGTCAAGTTTCAGTAAAAAAAAAAAAAGTATTTTATTTTTTTCCCATGTAGATTCATTTGATGATATAAAAAGAAAATCTTTCATGTTTAAATACATGTTATCCCAAAAAGCCCTTAAAGCTTAAAACTTCATTAAGACTTTTGGGACACCTTGTATTTTCACATTTTCAGTATGTTCTGGAAGCATAGTTAATTTGAGCTACTTTCTCTTACAACTTTTAACTTCTATAGTTAAGATGTTAGTTATTAATTCTCTCATTATATTCTTGTAGATAAATTAATTCTTTATGTTAGCATGTAGCATAGTATACCTGTCTTAAAACTTGTGAGCTTTTCTTCCTGCAGAATTGTTAAAGCTTAAACAATAAATTCCAGATATGAAATAAGTTTTCCAAAATGTAATTTCTGAGAAATGATAATTTTTGAAGTTTTCATGATTAGACCCTTTAGAGCAAGGTATGAGTTTCAACACATTTTAATGTGTTACTTTGTGGACAGTGGTAGTTTGAGGATTGGGGTGCGTGTTCTTAGGCACATAGTGGGAGCAGATGTGGTTGACTGGGTCAAGGAAGATGAGCAAAAGGGTGCATAGCATGGATATGGTCATCTGATTCTGTGGTTATGGTAATCCTCTCCCTCAAATAACTCCTGCTTTAAAGCCTGATGCTGTACTCAGAATGTGGTTAGAATGTAGCAGAAGTTAGGTTTATTACTGTAGTTCACCACCATTGTAGGCTCATATCTGAGGCAAGAGTCAGTAAATTGAGGCTCCCCTCTCCCTCCTTAAGCTCTTATCTTTCATGATAATCCTATCTATAATGATATTCAAAATGATGAATGGTGTATAAATGCCATAAAATGTGTATTCAAATTAGTACTAGTGATAGTTTAGTATTCTAAAGCCTTGACTTTATATTTATATATTTCATTAGTTGTCATTGCCTATTAAAATACTTCCAACCTTTTCCCCCAACTCACCTGATTTGCTGATGATACCTACATCTTTTTCCTATATTTTCTTTTCGTGACTTGCTCCAATATCTCTAGGTTTGAGATGCAGATGAACATTCTCACCTTAGCTCTGCTGAGCATACTTCATTCATGCCATTTTATACAGCTGCCACCTCCACTTGAAAGTGCCAGTTGTCAACCTTGTGTTGACACTCTGTCACCTAGCATAGCACCTTGCATGCAATAGTCCTTAAATGTTTGTTAAATTGAAGTGAAGTATGAGTCTGCTGCTCAAAAGGCAGCTATGTTTAACCTAGCTATATATTGAGCCCAGAATTCACTCCACAAATATTGTATAAAACCTGTAATGGCGACTAGTATTTTGATAGAAATAAGTGAAATAGCCAAATGTCTTTGTGTAGATTATAGTTTGGCATGATGTACCTTATTGATAGTTAAACTTTTGTAATGTGTGTACTTCTCCAAATTAAATTAATGTCTGAAAAAAGTTTATTTTTGTTAAAAATTTGATACAGAATGATGTAATTATTCTTCACTTTATCAAAAGTGACAGGGTAGGGAATATATGGTGATTGTAGCTATAATCCATAAGGTCTTAGAGTGGAGCTCTACAAGTGTACAAGTGTACCTGGCAAGTAGTTTTGGTGCAGTTCATTCTTCTAATTCCATCCCTTGTGCTTAAAGTCTTTAACTAAGTTTTCTTCCTCCTAAGATCTTTGGTAATTTCAATCATTTCCCCTTATGTTACCCTATTACTCACTTCTGCTATCAAAGTCTTCTTCCATTCTGGGGGATTCACTTTTCACTGGCCTTGATCTCTGCCTCAGTTGAGTAGGGGAGCAGGAGTGGGGTGGGGGAACAGAGCTGGCCACAGATGGATGCCAGTCCTTCTCCCAGACAAATAACACATACTTGTAGTCTACCCCAGTTCCTTCTGTTCCTCATTTCTCTGGCTCAATACTATTGGAGCAGAGCATATTGTGTACTAGCCTGAACTAGCTTTTGACTTTGTTTAGTGCAGGAGTGAGACGGAGTTGAGAGGAGGGCAGACAGGAGTTGAATTCTTTTGAAAGCCTGTGAGTTGACTTGCACAGCCCTGCTAGAATGTAATGATAAAAGATTTTTGAATAAGCTTATTATCTGATTTTATTTCATTGGGTTGTTACCTCATTAGGTTTTTTGAGTTCTAAGACCTTGAAGGTAGCTGAAATTACTTTATCTTTTTGTATGTAATTTTTATGTTGGAGAAGTTGAGAGAGTATGAGTGGAGAAAGCCTCCATCTGGTTGGTCATGTGACCTAGAATCCTTATTCCATCCCATTTTTCTTCTAAGCTTTTATCTTGTATATGAAGAATCTGTATTCACATTGCTTTTGAGAAATAAAACCTTCACAAATATGAAAAGATTTCCTTGTTTTATTTGAACTTTGTTTCTCTAGATTCACATGTTTAAATTCAAAATTGTTCCAAATAAAATTTTTACAATTTAATGTTACTTTAGATTGTTCAGAGGATTACTACAAAAACTTTTTAATGAGATCATAGATCCAAAGCTGGAAGGTACTATAGTACAGTTCAGCTTTCTTGTCTTACATATGAGGAAAATGAGACCCAAAGGGATTAAATGATTTTCTCAAGTTGATCAAGGTAGTCAGTAGCAGAGCCACAATTTCAACTCAGGAACTGTGACTCCAAGTTTACTATTCTGAATTGCAACATATGTCATATGTGCTTGAGCACCTCCACAAATAACTTTGTGGCTCTTGGATGGGGATGATCTTTTACCAAAAATGTTAGTAATTAGACCTGTCCTTTGATGGCAGGTCCCCAGATGTAGATAAAAGTGAGTAACTGAGAGTTAATTGTGCATACTGACATGCTTTTAATGAAAATATAAAGGAAATGAAAGAACTGTTATTTTACATTTTAATAATTCAAGTATTTTCTAAGATATTGTTAATTTATATCCAGCTAAATATTCAAATAAAATCTAATTCCCATATATTTTAAAATTATCATTTTAATAAGGAACATTTTTCTTAAATTTCATAGTAACTGTGACTGATTCTTTATTGGTCCAGACATGTTGGTTTGATACAGAATGATTGAAACATTTTTTTGAGTTCTTGAAGAGTTTATATCAATGGATTAAATATTTTTATTGTCTCTCATTTGTTTATATTGAATGTAAACTGACCCATTATCAAATTAGAGCAACCAGTACAGTTTTTTAATTTGCAGTTACTTGTCTTCTGGGGAAAGAATGTGGTTTAGATTGGAGAATTGATTTAGTTGAGAAATTGTGGAATCGCTTTTTTCTCTCCATAGCACTTAAAAATGAATTAAGCTATTTTTGTGGTTTGGTGTATTATAAATCAGCTTCAATTGCTGAAATTCAGTTCTGTAAATATCTATTAATCCTCTGCTAAGCCCAAGGATTGTGCTACATACTAGGTTATAAAAAAATTCTGCCCTTAAGAAATTTGCATTCCACTCAACCTAGCAAAAAGAATTCCCTCATATATTAGTAGTCTTTTCTAATGATAGATAAAGAAATTATAGCATTATGTAATATGGATCAAAACATTGAAGGCCTTGTTGCCACCCTTTTTCCTATAAAGTTATGTAAAAATGGACTCAAATAGTCATGGCTTTTATAATCCCTCCCTTCTTTGGGTATCTCCATCATACTTAACTTTATAGAAATAGGGACTATAATAATAATAGCAGCCCATAATTGTAGAGTCATTTACAATTTATGAAGTGCTTTCCTCTCAACAACCACCATCATCCCTATATTTCTGATAAGGGGCAGTTAGGTAGTTCAGGGGATAGAGTGCCAGGTCTGAAGTCAGAAAGACTCCTCTTCCTGAGGTCAAATCTGGCCTCAGACATTTACTAGCCGGGTGACCCTGCAAGTCATTTAACCATATTTGCCTCAGATTATTCATCTGTAAAATGAACTGGAGAAGGGAATGACAAACCATTCCAGTCTCTTTGCCAAGAAAATCCAGAATGGGGTCACAGAGAGTCAGACACAACTGAAAAACAACAACAATGTTACTGATGAGGAAAGGGAGGCTCAGAGCAAATAAGGGACTTGTCTCAAAGTCACACAGCTGGTAAATGGGGTATCAAGGAACTAGAATGATAGGATCATAAGTCTAGAACTGAAAGAGGCCTTAGAGATCATTTAGTTCTAGTCTTATTTTACAGATGAGGAATTGAGGCATAGAGAAAATAAATTACTTAACCCAGGTCTCCTGCCTCCAAGTCCAGTATTCTTTTCATTGCACCAGAGATAAGACATAGCTGCTAGTATCAGAATCCTTTCCAGTGGATGTTTGGATTGTAAGTTGTTCTAGATATTGTATTGAAATCTTCAGTTCCAGATTACCTAGTGGAAAAATTCTATATACGGAAGTTTAGCTAAATGAAAAGCAGCTATTAATTGATCAGCTCAATCTTTCCCCCTTCCCGTCCATTAAAATGAACTGTTTGACAGAATCAACCATCCAACTTGGTGTGATAAATGAACTAGTTGTACTTGGCCCCAGAGGATGGAACTAGAAGCCATGAACCAAATTTGTAAAGAGTTAAATTTGGTCTTGATAAAAGGAAAAATTTCCTACTGAGTTATCCAAATGTGGAATAGGCTACTTTGGGAAGTAGTTGGTTTTTCCTAATTGCAGATCTTCAGAAAAAGGTTAGATGACTGACCATTTGGGAAAAATGTTTTGTTGCGGGCTTCATCTTCAAGTATAGGCTGGACTAGATGTCATCTTCCAAATCTGAGATTCTATTTGATTACTAACTGCCTAAATATAAACATTAAATTGAAATCATGTGTCTTTTCAGGATGAATTCATATAAAGGTTTTAGGTATGGAAGAATAAATATAATGGTTACTAAAATAGCTAAGGATATTCTTTCTTTATCCTATAATGAGTTCAGTACAAAACATTCCTAAAATATGTTATAAGAGGAGGGGTTATTACAGTGTCATTTTATAGTATATTTAACATACTCTTTGACCATGTTAGTAGCAAAAAGAAATTCTTTAATACTTGATTTTTTAAAAGGACCAATCATATCATTTCACTATTTATATTGCTTAGTGACCGTAAGCTGCCTGACCGAAAACTCTTCCTGCGCACGCTTCGAAGATAATTTCGATATAGCATGACACTGATGACGCGAGCTTGAAATTGTTTTGAGACAATATAATAGAGTATAACATCCAGACATGTGCTGAGATTCATGAGGAAAGTGGTAAAGGTACTCCATGGATTATAGCTGTTTTCCTCACGTTGCAGCATTAGAAAAGCAAAACAAATATGAAAGGGAACAAAGCAGACAAGCACTTGTACAATGAGAGTAATAATTATTCTTATGGACTTTTCCTTGACCTTCGGTTTCAGCTTAGAAGTCCGGCCACGAAGGAGACTATTAATAATGAATGAATAGCATCCAATCATGATAAAAAGAGGAATCAAGAAAAAAAAAATCAGACGAGTAAAGTTCAGCATATTAATTGCTTTCAAGTGGATTATGTCAAAAATTTTCAGGCAGCTGGCAGGGTTGGTGTCTTTATCTGGATCTTCATTTAAAAATAATAGAGGGGTGGTAGTTGCAAGAGTCATTATCCAAATTCCAGCGCAAGCTAGCACTGCTTTGCTTGTATTCTTAAGTTCTTTGGTATGTTTAGGCTGCAAAATAGCCATGTATCTATCGGCACTAATAAAGGCAAGAAGCCAAAGGGCAATACTTGGATAAAACATTGTGAGAGCTCCAAGAATGTGACAGAAAGTTTCCCCAAAGATCCATTTACCTTTTCCATAATAAACCATACGGAAGGGTAAGCACAATACAAAGATTATGTCCAATAATGCTACATTCATCATATAGATAGTTACAGTTGTTCTCTTCTTGGTGCTACAACTGAAGACCCATAGAGCAGTCACATTAACAAATAATCCAATTATGAAGATACAGCTATAGAATACCAGTGCTGCAATCTTGTATTCTTCTGGTTGTAAGTTAGTAGAAACAGAATGATTTGGGTTATTTTGGGTAGCCATCTTATTTCTTGTTGAACATGATACCTAGAAATGGAAAAAAAATATTAAATGTATCCTTCCAGAATTCTGAACCTGATATAAATCAATCACCTAGTGAGCTTGGGAGAATTTTTTTTTAATTTTAGAGCATAATAAAGATATATTCGTAAGAGATTATCGTAGATATATCATAACTGATTGGAACTTACTTCAGTGTTGTGAAGCACAGGGGGAGTTTTTTGGCTTTTTTTTTTAAAAAAGCAAATATTTATTGATATCTTCTCTTTTCATATCACCATCATTTCTCAGTATGTTTCCCCTATAAGTGCAGAAAAAGTTCAGCAAAACTAACACATCAGCTACGGTCTTCATTATGTACTAAATACCCTTTCCTTTTCAAATAAAGGAAGGAGATACATTCTCATATCTCTTCTTTTTTGAAAAACATAATTTTATATGTTTTGCATGGCTACACATGTATAACCTATATCAAATTGCTTCCCTTCCCAAAGAGGGGGGTGGGAAGGAGAGAGAGAATTTGGAACTAATTTTAAAAGCATATATTGAAAAATTGTTTTTTCGTGTAATTGGGAAAAAAATAAAATGCTAAATTAAAATGAAACAAAAAAAAAAAGAAAAATCTAATTTTATTTTTTTAATGAACAAAAATTCACTTTCTTTTCTTCTCACCCTTCTTCCTATTTCCCAAATAGAAAAAGTAAATCACATTTTTTGTAATAAATAAGCATAGACAAGCGAAATAAGTTTGCACATTGAACATATCTAAAAAAGTCTCGTTTTCTATCTTGAGTCCTTCACCTCTTTCGAGAGAGAGCGTGTTCATCATGAGTTCTTTTAGTCAATGCATTCATTATAGTTCTTAAGCCTTTCAAAATTGTTTAAAATTTTGTTATTATTGTATAAATTGTTAAATTTTTTTGTCAACTTAGCCAATTTGATGAGAGTGAAATAGAATCTTATAGTTGTTTTAATTTGCATTTCTCTAATTATTATTGATTTAGAACATTTTTTCATATGTCTATTAATGGCTTACATTTCTTCCTCTGAAAACTGCCTATTTATATTCTTTGACCATGTGTTATATGGAAAATGGCTCTTATTTTTATGCATTTGGATCAGTTCCCTACATATCTTTGTCAGAAAAAAACTTGCTGCAAAGTTCTGATTTTAGCTGCTTTGTCCAAAAACTTTTAATTTTACTTAAGAAAAGTTTTCCATTTTTTCTTCTGTGATTCTTTTGTGAGTCCTTTGATCATGAATTCTTTCCCTCTCCATAGATCTTAGAGGATATTTCCTTCCTTGCTGCTGCAATTTGTTTATGTTGTTACCTTTTATGTCTAAGCCAAGGTGAGACATAACTTAAAAAGGCCAAGGTCTCCCACTATATTTGGGGCCGTCTCCAGTCGTCCTGATTTATAGCTTGCTACTGGACCCAGATGACTCCAAAGGAGAAAGTGAGGCTGGTGACTTTGCACAGCCCTTCCTCACTTAAATCCAATTCACTTACAAGTCATGTCATCACCTTCCTGATACCGTGGTCCTCTTCAAGAACAATAAGGACAAACAACAATAAGCCAACCAGACAATTTGGAGCTTACCTCACTGTATGATGTGAATGTTTATCTATACCTAATTTCCACTAAATTGCTTTCCAGTTTTCCTAACAGTTTTTGTTGAATTTGTTCTTTCCATATATGTTGTTATTGTCATTATTTATTTTGCTTTTCTGTTTCTGCTTACTTCAGCTTGTATTAGTTCATATAAGTCTTCTCATGAATCTCTATACTTTTCATATTCGTTGTTGCTTATAGCACAGTAATATTCTAGTACTTTAATTAGCCCACAATTTGTTTTACCACTCCCCAAATGATGGGGCAACCACTCTGTTCCTGGATCTCTGCTACTAAAAAAAAAAGTGTTGCTAAAAATATTTTGTTGTGAATTGGAACTTTCTTTTTATCATTGACTTCCGTGGGGCACCATATATTCTGGGCAATGACTGAGTCAAAGGGTATGGACATTTTAGTCACTTTTTTTTAAAAGCATAATCCTAAATTGCTTTCCAGAACGGTTGGATGATTTTACAGCCCTACCAGCAGTTTATTAGTTGATTGTTTTTCCATAACCCCTCCAACATTTATTATTCCTGTCTTTTGTCATCTTACCCAGTTTTCTAGGTCTAAGGTAAAACCTCAGGTTTTTTTGTTTTTTTGCATCTCCTTAATTTGACTTTCTCATATTATTAGTGATTGGTCATACACACTATCTTCCAGCAAGGATTGATAATTTAAATTAATTGAACTAAGTGAGAAGGTCAGTTTGGATTAGTAGATAGTGGAGGTGAGAATCTTTCACAATGTGGTTTTATTAAAGTACATTCAATAAGTAAAATTAGGTTAGGAGTTTTTGGCAAGCAAAGGTTCTGGGACAGGTTCACCTTCATACAAAAATATTAAAAGTCTTCTGTGTAAATGAATAGTATTTGAGGATCATTTGATGAAGATCAAAATATTTTAAATATTTCTCCTGAAACTTTATTTACATTATTAATGTGCATTATTTATGGCAAAAACAGAGATTTGTTAGACCAAGTTAAACATAGCCTACTCCGCATCCAAATGGTCCCAAATAATAATATCTAAATTAGCTAGATTGGACCATGTCTAAGTAATACTTCAGTATGCAGCAAAGTACAGATGAAGAAATGCACAGATGAGCTAGAGATACCTTTCAAAAGTACTTTTAGCTGTGGTTACCCGCAACAGTTTACAATTCAGTCTTACGAAAACATTCATTAGTCAAGACTTTCATTAGTATTATTTCCTTTAAATGCTTCATTTAGTCAAGGTTCTGAGAAAAAACCAAATATTTTGTACAGGGTTTTTAAGGTCAAGAGACTTTGAATTATTGTAGCAATCCTACTTCAATCCGACTCCAGATTAAATATTAAATGTCATGCAGATCTATAGCCAATTTTAACTTCTCTGATGTTACATAGACTCTAACAGGATTATAAATTTTTTGAGGACAAGGCTATAGATCCGTCATTTTTCTCTCACCTCCAAAGCACACTCATGTATCACACAGGTACTCAATGAATACTTACTGAATCAAATTGGAAAAGATATTATCAAAGCTTATAGAGCCTGAGAAGACAGTCAAAAAGATGAATTCTATGCCTAACCAATAGGTTCTCCTTTCAGGCTTCACAGCATAGTTCTCTCTATTTTTTTCAGTTAACCTTGCTAGATGATAGCCTGACTAAAATCTTGAAATGCTAATTACTACTAAATGATAATGATAATAATAATGGCTTCCATTTATGTGACTCTTTATGGTTTGCAAAAAGCTTTTACATACCATAATCTCATTTTTTCATCCTAACAACCTTATGAGGTAAATAATGGAGACATTATTCCTTGCATTTTATGTGTGTGAAAACTTTGATTTATAGAGCTTAAGTGATGTACTCATAGTTACCAAGCTGTGTAAGGGCTCAAGTAAGATTCAAACCCAGGTCTTTTCCTGGCTCCAGAATTCAACATTATTTGAAACTAGTCTGGCCACAGCAAACCCTGATAGGGTAAAAATTCAGAACAAGAACTACTTTCGCTCAGTGTATCAGTTAATGACAAGAAAGACATCTTTCAAACCAAAAACTTTTTGTTATTTGAATTTGCATTGACTTGGGAGTGATTATCATCTTTTAGGAAGTTGTAGTGCTTACTTTTCTAGTTTCTCATGGCCACCTTTGCTTTCACCAAAAGTGTAAAGTGCTTTTGAACTTTGTGGGGGAGAATTTTATAATACTTCAATTCTGTTGATATTCTAGGGTGTTACAGAATTGGCGTTAGAAATCTGTAGTCCAATAACAGTGCATTTCAACATTACTTTTCTTGTTTTGCTGTTTTATTTATTTTGCTTTTTGTTTCTTTTTTTTTTTTTAGCAGACCTTAGACAAATAAAAAGTTCCTTTGACCTTGTCTTGCCTTGAGTAATTCCATTCCTATTCGGTAAACTTGTATTAAGCTCTATTAAAACTCTTTTATTAAGTTCTGGGCAAAGCCACAAAACTGGGCACTAGAGACAAATTCTATACAGACACTCGGGTCAGAGAGCTTGCGATATATCCATATGAAGATGTGTGTATACATTGGATAAAGGAAAAAATGGGATAAGTATAGAGGAAAGGCCCACACCAATGTCCCCAAGAAATTTTAGGAGTAAAAGATGACTTTCATCCAGAGGTGGGACAGGGCTTTGATGGAAGAAAGTTAGGGAAGGTTTCATAGAGGAGATAGCATGTGATTTGTACTTGAAAGGAAGGAAGCACCTTGACTTCAGTAGATGAACTAGGGGGACGAGGCCATTCTACATAGTGCAATAAGGCATGAATAAAGGAGAGGGCAGGATGAGACTAGAGGACTTGAGAGTTTCTAGAATAAAGAGTACATGAAAAGAAGTAGTACTGAAATAAGACTAAAAAGGTGGGTTTGGGCCATATGGCTTTGGATGATAGAAGAGTTTATGTTCACATTGGAGTCTATGAAATGATTAAGACCCAGAAGGAGAATCCAAGCGACCTCTATGAGTGAAATCCACATGAACTGAACTAATGCCAAAACAAATGGCTGAGTCCTGCGGATTTGTTAATGGAAGTAGAGGGGTTTATAGGCAACCCAAGATCAGGTCCTTACCACTAGATATTACAGATGAGTTATACTTATGGGTCTTAGACTTTTGATCAGTGTAGATTATGCAAAGAAATGTTTTTAAAATGTGCAGTGTGTCACTGTAGGTCGCAAAGATTTTGCACCTACTGAATACCCAGCAAAAGACCTGACTGATGGCTGAGACAATAAATTGCTCTGCTATAAATATAGATTTCGGTATCCTTGAGAATTCAACAATAAATTGAACTGGAGCATTATCATAGGCAAAGCTGTTAACCTATAATTGCCTGAACATATCATCGATCCATAAAATTTAAGAATGATGTTACTATTCCAAATACTCAATCTCCAAGCTACGTGGAATGAAAAGCTTTCAAAATATGGAGACATAACAGAAGAAATTAAAACCATTTGGAAACAGAATGATGGATTTATAGGGTGAGAGACAACCTATTTTCTTCCAGAATTTGTTCTGAAGATGCTTTCTTTGAGAATACAGAATATAAGCTTACATCCCAATGCTTTAATTACCAAAAAAAAAGCAGCTATTTTATCTACTTGTTCAACAGTCCACCTAACATCAAACATAAAAGAATGGTAGTAGGATAATGAGTTGTCCCACAGCCATTTCACCTGGACTCAATTGGGAAAAAAAAAAAAAGAATGAACTTTTTTTTTTTAATTTTAGTTGAGCTTGTGGGTTTTGTTGGTAGAGAAACTCCCTCTACCAATGCAGATTGGTACCTTCTCTCCAATAGAGAATTGCCTGTGGTACTAGGAGATTAAGTGATTTCACTAGGATCACCCATCCATTATGTTTTAGAGATGGTATTGAATCCAGGCCCTACTAATACCAAGCTGACACTAACTCTCTATCCACTGTCCCATGCTGCCTTCATCATCATCATCATCATCCTCCTCCTCCTCCTCCTCCTCCTCTTCTTTATCATGCTATAACCAATGCATTATATAAGTAAGTGCAAACTTATTAATAAATACAACCTGAGAAAATTAATGGTGTGGGATGATAGTGGAAAAGGGAGGTGTGTGTGTATACACTGAACTTATTAAAGAGATAAGACAATATAATACATTTTAAGGTTTGTGAAACACTTTACGTAAATTATCTCTTAAGCTTTACAACAACCTTGTGAAATAATTATAATGCAGATATTATGCCCATTTTACAGATGAAGAAACTGAGTTTCAGGAAAGTTCAGGTGACTTGCTCATGATCATATAGCTGCTAGTGTTGCTACTGCTAACTACTGTTTGACATTTTTTAGCATCTTAAAGTTTGCAAAATGTTTTACTTATGTTAGCAGCTGCTAGGGATATATTTGAAGTCGATCTTCTTAACTCCAGTTTCTCAACTCTTGTCTGTCTGCTAGGCATGTTATTATAAAGTCTCATAAAGTGATTCATTAGAGGTAAAAAGAATGAAATGCTTTTCTGGTACCTAACCAGGGTCATATAGGAACTAATGGTATGACAATCTTTGTTTGGGGGTCCTCTATCCAGATTACCCTTGAAAGAGATTATCCAAAGGATTGAGTATGTCTAGAAACCTAGATAGATGTTCCAGCTTACAGTTGGTATGATCTTATGGATCTGTATGTACTTAATTAATGACTGTTGAATAGATTAACAAGTTTCTCCTTATATTATTAAGGACACTAAAGCTTTGTAAGCTAACAGACCTCTTGAAGGATGAATTGGAAAAAAAAAAAGTGGTACAAATGGATTTTAAAAGGCACTTGATGTCTTTAAGTATAGAGCATTGTTACGTTTTCAAAACTAGAGTCCTTTTTAAGTACATCCTCTCAAAATTTATCTGACTTTGTTTCTAGATTTTTTTTGTGTGCGTTATGAAAAACTAGTTTAAACCAGTAGTAGGGAATAGTTACAAACATCTTTTTTCTTTAAAATGAAAATAAAGTAACAGACTATGATTGCTATACATTTTAATATTCTTGAAAAAAGGTATATAATTTATATGAGTAGGTTATAATCTATATATTCTAAGATTCTAAGATCTTGTAAATCTAAGATTATTCATTAGCAATGTTTTAAATAGCATATTATTTAAACATATCTTTGGAAATTTTAATTTTTTTTATTAAAAATCATATAAGAAGTCAAATATTCCTTACCTTCTATGCATTAAAGTTATATGTAGGTAATCCTTTTTCAGTGTCCCCAAATCTGTAAAAGATGAGAAGTCCTTCTGTTGCTTTTTTTTTAACTTGCTCTAAAATAAGTTGTTGTTCATAAGGCAATCTAGGTCAGGAAATACAGTTTCATTTTTCAAGTTTTAGGCTTTTTGTTTAACAGTTTATCTTACATGCTAAGTCCAACGTTAAGTACTTATAAGATTGTTTTTACTCCTTTGCCTCTTTTAGCAAATACTCTTTGAAATAAAGGTGGTTTTTTTTTTTTGTTCATGACATCATCCTGGATGTATTTTTTCTTTCATAAATGAGATTCTGTTATGCAGTATGTACGTAGCATTAGCCCACAAAAGAAAAATGAATAGTATTTAAGAGAGACTTTCTGAGTAAGAAATAGGAGAAAAATGAATGTTTCTTTTGAAAACTGAATGATGCCTGTGCTAACAGAAAAAACAGTACTATTTAGTATGCATATCAGTGACTTCAGGAAAATTAAATAAATTTAGAGATCTGAAAAGTGAAAGTAAATCTTATAAATTATATTTTCATTTAAAAATTTTCTAACAGATTTAAAACGAACACCAACTTTCCCTGCCCTCTTTAATTCTAGTGCCTTTCCTCTGTTCATTATCTCTAATTTATCTTGAATATGCTTACCAGTATAAAATTGTTTGCATATCATCTCCCCCATTAAACTATGAGCTCCATTAGCCAAGAACCTGTCTTTTGCCTTTTCTTTGTATCTCCCAGTGCTTAGCACAGAGTCTGGTATATAGGAGGTTTTTAATAAATGGTTATTGACTGACCAACTACCAACATTTGTTTTCTTTCTTAGCTCTGTTTTCTATATAATACTCACCACTTCTTACTTTTCTTCTCGAGTAGTCATCAGTTCTTCTTCCTTTGTATGAGAAAATAAATAACTTTTGACTTCCCCAAAAGCTGCTTTAAAAAAAAAAAAGAAAAAGCATTTGGGATTCTTTACTGTATTAATTTACATACTCTGGGTATGCTAATGAAAAAAATGAGTTGAAACTGATAATAAGGGAAGTAATGGCCCCAAATGAGGCATCTAGAAGCCTACCACTTCCTCCTCACCCTCCCCTTCCTTTTCACAGAGCAGGTTGGTAACTAGGAAGAGGAATTATTTTCTTATTGTATATAACCCTTAAGCCTTTCATTTGTTTCTTTTGAAATAAATTCGTTTTCATATTTCTTTCTTGAAATTCTTCAACATTTTATTTTCTTAAGTAGAGTTATACAATTTGATTTTTTAAGAAAAGGCTATATCTGTACACAAATTTGATTAGGTTGAAATAAGTAAAATTGTCAGTTATTTAAAAATACTACAGTCAGTTACAGGTTGTTTTAATTAAATAGGCTGTTTTAAAAATTAATCAGTTATTTGAATTAAGCTGAGTTTTTTGTCTTAATAAAACAAACAAACTCCTTTTAATCTAGGACAAAACAACAGTAAGGCTGTCACTGCTACTCCTGCATGCAGTTAACATCTATTTTTACTATCACATGACTGTGACCTCAAAAATCAAATCCACATCCTTTCAGAGAATCTAGCACTATCCATTGACCTTGATATATTGTATGTCTAAATGATGTTACCTTTTGTGCATCATTGTTATGTGAAGAGAAGTCAGGGGTGTAGTAAAAATGACAATATTAAGATTTGACACTGGAAGTCCAGGATTTGAATTCCAGTTTTGCATTTTATTCAATCATTGTTCTATCAAGTAAATCACTTAAACTCTCTGGGCTTCTGTTTCCTCATCCTACAGATAAGGGTATGGAACAAGATGATTTCTGTAAGGTCTTTTCTAGTTATAAATGGTAAGAATAACATTTAATGGCATTTTAAATTTATGAAAATAGGTCATTTCCTAAAATTGTTGATAAGTAATTCTCCTTATTAAATTTTATGGTTTCTAACCTCTTGCTTAATGCTTATGCCCAAAGTGCTGCCTCCCTTTTAGGGAGGAACTTGTTTATCTCTCTTATAGATTCTCTAAACAGTGCTCTGTTTTTTTCTAATATCTTGGCTTGTTAAATGGTAAGGTTAGAAAGAACATTTTATTTGCTGACAGAGAAAGGCCTATTTGCTTACATAAGATAGGCCTATTTGCTTACATAAGATGAATTTATTCCTTTTGCTTACTGTGAAAACTCAGTATTTCAGCCCACCTTTTTGCATCTATTTTTTACACCTAAAAAGCCTTCTGCTTGTTCAACTTTGACTCTAGGCACCTAAGAGTGACTACAGTGTAAATTTATTCTTAAAGTTTAACATTAGTTGCTTAAAGTCACAGTAACAGAACTTTTAAAAAAATTATAATTACTAGGTTGTGTACTGTAAAATAAAGCTATTTTGGAGATTGGTATTAGTATGGGCAAAATAGTGGCAAAAAATGTACAGTATACCTGTGTTTAGTAGTTAGCTACTGTTTAGCTAGAATTTTAATACCTCTCTTTACCTGTGCTTTTCAAACTCAGACTCAAAGAAGAGTTAAGTATACTTCCTATGTCTGGGACTGTTAGACTTCTCCCAAGCTCTGATAGGGTAGGGTATGAGTATCAGAGATGCAGCCTGGTCAGTTTCAGAAAGGCTTTTCAGGACAAGCTAATTCCAAAGTCAACAAAGTCGCTTCCTAGACAAAATCAGAGCATGGTGGATACCTGAGGGAGGTAAAGCCAGACACATGGCTTTTCTGGCTGCCTCCTCAAGGTTGACATTTTAAAAGAGACACAAAGACATGCCTAGATTAGGAAAGACTCCTAGGAATTCCTCACTTAGGCCCAAGTGACTCTTTGAAAGCAAAGACCGCTATGAGACCACACAAGAGCAGCCTGGCTGACCTACCCAGGTTCAGGTCTGCTGTTCTTCCTACAAATTTTCCCACTGTTCCATAGCCCTGCTTAACCAGGATAACCCCTTATAGTCTGGCTTCCTACTTTATCATTCCCTGAAACTGCTATCCACAAAGTTACTAATGATCGCTCAGTTGCCAAATCCAGTGTCTTTTTCTTAGTTGTCACTCTCCTTGACCTCTCTGTAGCCTTTCACATTGTTGATCCCTGTCTCCTCCTTGATACCCTTCTCTCTGGGTATTCAAGACGCCGCTCTCTCTTGATTTTGTTTCTACCTGTCTGACCACTCTTCTGTCTCCTTTGCTGGATCCTCCACCAGATCATATCCTCTAACTGTAGGTGTTCCTTTGGATCCTGTCCTTGACCCTCTTCTCTTCTCCTTCTATACTACTTCACTTGGTGATTTCATCAGCTCACATGGATTTAATTATCTTCTATATGCTAATGATTCTCTTTTTAAAACATTCTTAAAATTTTTTTTAAAGGAAACTGCTTTATTCTACTGAAGGTTCATTTTATAGCATACAGAAAATTCTATAAGGACAGGATTCAGGATTCATCATTTTCAGTATTTATTTCTTCAATTCAAGCTATCTCATCTCTCTCATTTTTTTTTTTTTTTTTAATGAAGAGGTAACTGGCCTGGGACCTCTCTTTATTTATTTTTAAAAAAACACTTAATAGTATTTTATTTTCCCAATTACATGTAAAGATAGTTTTCGGTATTCACTTTTATAAAATTTTGAGTTCCAAATTTTTTTCTCCCTCCCTCCTTTCCCACCACCCTCCCTGTGTAGGTTATACATGTACAATCATATTAACCATTTCCAGATTAGTCATGTTGTGAAAGAGGAATCAGCACAAAAGGGAAAAACCACGAGAAAGAAATAAAGAAGTGAAAATGGTATGCTTTAATCTGCATTCAGACTCCATAGTTCTCTTTCTGGATGTGGATAGCATTTTCCATCAGGAGTCTTTTGGAATTGTCTTAGATCAGGTTTTTCTGAAATCTTCCTGCTCATTGTTTCTTATAGCACAGTAGTATTCCATTACATTCATATACCACGACTTGTTTAGCCATTTCCCAATTGATGGGCATCCCCTCAATTTCTAATTCTTAGCCATCACAAAAAAGAGCTTATGCTAATGATTCTCCTATCCACCATTCCTGTCCCAGTTCCTCTTCTGACCTCCAATTGTTTTGGGACATCTCAGACTGGGTGCCAGTAGATATCTTAACCTCAGTATGTCCAAAACATAACTCATTACCTTTCCTCTAATCCCACCCCCTCCCACCCTCACTACCACCACTACCTTCCCAATTACAGTACTGTAGAGGGCTACAGCATACTCCCAGTTCCTCAGGATCACAGCCAAGGAGTTATGCTGAAAATTTCATCTCTTTCTTCCAGTATCCAATCTCTTGCTAAGGACTGTCGATTTCACCTTTGCAACATCTTTCCTCTGACACTGCCACCACCCTGGTGCTGGCCTCTGTTACCTCCCCTCTGGACTGTTGCAGTATTCTGCTGGTGGGTTTTCCTGCCTCAAGACTCTCCCCACTCCAATCCATTCAGCCACTGAATTTATTTTCCTAAAGCATATGTCCAACCATGTCACTCCCCTGCTTGGTAAACTCTAAGGGCTACAGGATCAAATACAAACTGCGCTGTTTGGCATTCTAAGCCCTTCATGACTTAGCCCCCTTCTACTTTCCTATTCTTAACGACATAGAATCTTTCCATTACCTGACATATACTCTTCAATACTGTGATATTGGCCTCTTGGCTGTGTCACAAATGGGACACTCCATCTCTTGACTGAAGGCATTTTCTCTGGCTAGAATACTCTTCTTCCTCTGCTCTGACTACTGACCTCCCTGGCCTCCTTTAAGCCTCAACTAAGGTCCCACTTTCTACAGGAAGCCTTCCCCAACCCTTCTTAATTCCTGTTGATTATTTCCTATTTATCTTATCTATAGTATAACTTGTTTTGTATATATTTGTTTGCATGTTGTCTTGCCTATCTGATTATGAGCTCCTTAAGGGCAGGCAATATCTTTTGCCTCTTTTTGTATCCCTCGCACTTAGCACAGGATCTGATAAATAGTAGGCCCTTTCAATATATCTTTATTGATTGATTGATGGCAATGAAAATCTGCTATGCTACTAATTGTCTGATTCTTTTCCTTACTAGAGAGCTAATATATTGCTTCTCTAAACTTTACCACAATAATAAGCCCATTACATATTAACTAATAAGCCCATTTTTATAAAAAATAACTTTTCCAAAACAAAAAAAAGTAGTGAGAAGACTGACATTGTCTAGCATTTGCATGTTTTTGCTAATCATTTTAATATCTGGCTTAATAGAAGGCAGCTTGATTCTTATTTCTGCTTCTGTAATAAATCTCTTGTTATGTGTTTTTGTTGGAGTATATGAAGAAAATCTGACCTCACACAGACATGTTGTTAGAAAAAGGGAGGAGTATTTTAATAGGCAAATAATGTCTTAGTATTGTTGTGAGAATAGTTTTGATCTCACAGACCCCCTGAAATTTTCTCAGTAACCCACAAGGATCCTCACACCACACTTTGAGAACCACTGCCTTATGGTATATACCTTGCTCATGATAACTAATACTTTTTGAAGTGGATTAAATTGTGGAGACCTGACAAATCTCCATCCTTGGTCCCTGCCTCCTCTGCCTCTGAGTGTTGCTTTGGACTTCGTTCTCCTCTTCCTTTCTCTCTCGGTGTCATCTCTGTATATGAAGGATCAAAAATTGTGTTTCTAAATGTATGCTTTAAAAATTCATCACTTCTCCAGAATTGTCAGAAATCTACCTGATTTCAGTAATCCATAAAAACCTAGCTTCTCTGAAATGACTATTCATTTTCCCATTAAACTCATAAAATTTATTGTCAAACATTTATGTACCTTACCAGGTGTTACATTTAAAATTTATAGACATAAGGATTCCTATTTTAAGAGAACCAACTACAATAGCACACAGATAAAACACAGGTAGCATTTGAGTTGTGTTCCCTTTAAGAACTTCTTTTTGAAGGCTCAGCTCAGATGTTAGTTC